GACGCCGTAGTGGAGGGCTCCGGAAATTTAGACCACCTGGGGTTCTTTAACGTGCACCCAAATCTTAGCACACGGGCCTACAACATTTCCGCCTCCATCGGAAATGCAGCCGCCGCAGCCGGGATTCGAACCCGCGCCCTGCGGGTCAGCAGCCGAGTACCTTAGCCACTAGACCACCGCGGCGGGGCGCAGGTTACTAAGGTACTCTCCATTAACTCTTATCCCTAACTGTTCCCATTCTAGGCTTCTGAAAACCTCCTGTAAGCACGCGGTAAATAGCATTGGGGAGTTTGATTCCCCCTGCCTTACACCCTTCTTGATTGGTATTCTGTTCCTTTCTTTATGAAGCACTATGGTATAGCAGTTGATCCCCTGTAGATTTCTTTCAGGATGTTTATATATACTTCTTTGACGCCCTGATTCCACAGTGTCTGCATGATGGCTGATATTTCTACTGAATCAAACGTCGTCTCGTAATCTATGGAGGCTATGTATAGTGGTTGGTTATATTCTGAGCATTTCTGTATTACCTGATTGATAGTATGAATGTGGTCGACTGTTGAGTAGCCTGTTCGAAATCCTGCTTGTTCCTTTGGTTGATTGAATTCTAATGTTTTCCTTACTCTGTTAGCAATTACCTTTGTAAATAGCTTGTATACTACAGAGAGCAAGCTGATCGGCCTGTAATTCTTCAAGTCCTTGTCATCTCATTTCTTATGTATTAAGATGATGTTAGCGTTCTTCCAAGACTCTGGTACTCTTCCCGTCAGGAGACACCTCGTAAACAGGGTGGCTAGTTTTTCTAACACTATCTGCCCTACATCTTTCAGCAAATCTGATGTTACCTGATGATCTGATGAAGAGATGTTACCTGATGAGATATGATGAAGTTTTCAGGTGTCTGTACCTTATTCAGGATACTTCGCTCATTTATGTTTAGCAGTGTCATTTTTTCTTGCGCAGGTTCTGCCGAGTTTTTTTTGCGGCGTGCATCCTTTTTTCTTTATTCTACGCTCTCGTCTTTTTAGCTATTAAATGGAAAACATTTCTTAGCTATGTAGACGCCTACGACTATCTATCTATCTAGACGCCTACGACTGTTAGCTCCCTGGACATTTTGATAACGGTATCGATACGAAAATTAGTATGGCATAACATGACTGTATGACAAGCAGAACTTACTATACTCATAACATGAAAATCATGATATGTATGTAATGTTCATGGTCTTGCTGCTGTTGCGATGGTTTCGTTCACATGACATATTACAAAACTCGTGTGGTATGACACAACTGCAGGGCGAGCATTGGTGACAAATGCTAATGTGAAAATTATGAGATGCAGGTCATGTAGGTCATGCATGGCATGTACATGCCATGTACCGGGTATATATGTCACCTTAAGATCAGTACAACGTTACTAGGTGGACCCAAATCATGCCGTACATGACTTCCATGTCATGATTATTATGTTTGGACGTGCCATTTACCTTCGCTACATGTCTATTCACGTCACGTAATACCAAATTTGGTATATGGGAAATTAGCGAAACGCCCACGAGCACATCATGAGCGTAGCATGTATCTTTTACATGACACGCATGTGATGATTATTATTTTTGGATGTGTCATTTACCTTCGTCGTCCGTTCACGTCATGTAATACCAAGTTTGGTATATGTGAAGTTAGCGAAGCGGCCGCGAGCGCATCATGAGCGTGGTATGTTGTCATGTTTTTACATGACACAAGTTCACTTTCAGGAACACCATATATTACGAATTAATGAGGTTATTTTTTCTAGACCAATTCTCAAGATCGTCCATTTCAAGTTCAAGTTCTCGAACTACTTCTTGTAGGGCACATATTTCGGTTACGCAGTTTGCTATTTTGCTGTCTAGGGCACTGATATTAGCCAGCTTTGACTCGATTGCAGTAAAACGCTCTTCTTTTGATCTCTTTTAAATCGTCAGTGATGCTTTGTAACTGCTTCGCGAATCGGGTAACATCAGGGCCGGGGTCAATTTCTGTCGCCACACATAATCAATAACTTTTCAGCACAATATACAAGATTAATTACAAGGGAGCAAATGAGCCGCGGGCATGGCAGCGTGACCGAAACTGGGTAGTTAGAACGAAAGCATTTTCCATAGCGCCAGCTCCCCTGCTTGAAGGGGAGTAGTCGACCGCATGGTTTAGTTCTCGCCGTGCCCGTATATATATATATATGACCAATTTATTATGTCCAACACGTGTAAAAAAAGAAAATCAAGTGTGTACACGCGTACGAGACAGCAATAATTTTATGCCTAACGTTACGGCCGTGCCATGGCCGGAACATTTGACAACAATGTATTGTACTCTCGTACGCATACTCGTTTTTTTTTTTTTTTATGCAAGAAAAGCCGAAAGACGCAACGAGCGACGGCCTAGTGACCGCATCAGACAAGAATCGTAAGCGTGGTGCACACAGAGAAGCATGCCGTTTCTGTAGACTAGTGACGTTTTAGTTCTTTTTGTGTTGAGGCAGATTTGGTATGGTGGTCAGTATTTGTTTATGTGCGTACGAAATGAATGTTGTGTTTTCGTCAGAACTTGTCGCCTTTGTGTGACCATTGTGCTGACTCGAGCGAGACGTGCCACACGCTTTTGCACATCCTGACAATTAGCAACAGTCAACACATTATGTTTTGTGGTATCCTGAAGCTATCAGTTCCGCCTTTGTTCAGCTGTGATGAAGTTGTTCAGCTGTGATGAGTCGTCCGTATTCACAATTACTACACGCGCGAAAAACTTGCTGACACCGTTTGAGTCAGAATATCTTTCGAAATATTCTGAGTATCTTGAACGTAGCAATAAAATCTGGACGGTATTCTACTGATAATATATATGCATAAAGAACAGGCCCGTAAGACCACCACCCCCAAAGTTTGGAATGAGGTGGGTGTTTTACTTAAAATAATTTATAAAAATAGGTGTTTTCCACTGCCTTCAACAAGTCCCCCCCCTCCCCCACCGCCTCTGAAAAATTTTTTGGATACGGGCATTTTAACGGGGAATGTTTCCAGATATTGGTCCAATTCTTTGAGTTACTGATCGAGACCGGAGTTATTTGTCTTGGGAATTTCTGGAAGGAGACACAACCTGCCATTTATTGGACATAGTAAAACGAAGATTTCAGTGCACCGTAACTGATTTTTTTTTTTATTTTGCCCTTAGCCAGCTTAGTACGAGTATCGCGGACAATAGCTTTGCACTCGTCGGTTGGGTCGTGTTGGAGAGGCTCGTAATACACTTCGTCACTAAGCTGAAGTTTATTAACACAGCTGCGTCTGTCTATTATGACAATACCGCCTCCTTTTTTTGCGATTTTATTGACTATGTCCTTGCGAGTAGCTATGAATTTAACACTGTTTTTCTCTCACGGGGAAATTAAGGCGGAATGAAATACCTGCTGCATGACTGAAAAGCAGCACGTTCGTTGCACAGCTCAAAGCTGAACCATTTTAGAGAGTTACCTGTCTAGTTAGGTTAATTAATTAGGACTTCCACAAGATTCCAACATTAAAAAAATGGGTTGATTTCCCGATGTTTAGGAATCAACTCAATTTTTTATTCAGGTGGAGTAACAGTGCAGGTGTCAAGGTGCAATTATTAACTTCTTTGATGACTGAGTTGGGAAGAAGGATGGAAAGACGCGTCTTCTTTCGAGGTTACTGTTTAGGGGTTTGTGGTTGCTTAATCTGAACATTTACATCGCTGGGAGGGTGGTGTCTAGTGCTAATAACATTTTAATGATGAGGTATAATATTATCCCCGCCACGATGGTCTAGTGGCTAAGGTACTGGGCTGCTGACCCGCTGGTCACGGGATCGAATTCCGGCTGCGGCGGCTGCATTTTCGATGGAGGTGAAAATGCCGATGCCCATCTGCTCAGATTTAAGTGCACGTTAAAGAACCCCAGGTGGTCAAAATTTCCGGAGCCCTCCACTACGGCGTCTCCAATAACTATATGGTGTTTTTGAGACGTTAAACCTCACATATCAATCAATAAAATGAGGTATAGAATTATATACGCAAAGACCGTAATGAAATTATTTGTAATTGTTTCTATAGATAGCTTGTACGTGACGTCATAGGCGCCGCTTTTGAACGCAGTGGCGGCCACGACGGCGGCTTTGAAGAGAAACAAGTTGCGTCAATGTGAAAACAACGTGGCAGGAACAGTTCTGTGCGTTAATAGCAAAATAACCTGCATGTGACGTTTTGCTAACAATAATGTGACGTCGCAAACAACGGGTCCCCACGTACTGGTGCTCCAACATGGCGGTTTCAGTGATGCCAGTGGAAGCCATCTGTAGGCGCAACTGCGATTGTAATGTGTAGTGTGCTACGATATGTCATACGCCGTGGTTTTGCCGTGTTCCGCCTTATGGGCGCTTATCAGTCTCGGACTGATAAGCAATTGTTTTGTTGGTTTTCTACGCCGTAATGTGGGATTATCATGGTCATGAAATGTTGAATGTGCCGGCCCAAGCGTTTTCGTGCGTGCGAGTTCACCTTTGCACTGTTTGTTTATTTGATATGAATGCAAAACTGCAACGGTATCAGTCTAATACGGTGGCGCTTGAGCACGTCCGAAAAATGGTGTACGGTCCCATATTGTGCACGCGGATAGTTCCGTATTTTGTGGGTTGACCTTCCTGCAGTGCATTTTTGACGTTTACGGACTGATGAGTGAACCGTGGAGAGCTCTTTGAAAGTACCGCGTAGAGTTGCTCGCGCGATGCGGCGGCATCACGCGAAGACCCCTTACAGCGACTTGGCTCAGAGGTCCGAGGTGGCGCCACGCATTCAAGCGACCGGTTTCTGGCAAGGACGTCGCCCTCGGAGCATTTCTGTGCAGAGGCGGTGAGTGGCGCTGGTGCTGCGCAGTTTTCGCGTCTTCAAGTTCGTCCGCGGGGCGTTCTTAACAACTCGCTGGATATCCGCGGTGGGGCCTGTCAGGCAGCGCGTCACAGTGGAGGCAGCGGCGGTGTCGTTGAGGGACACTTTTTTCTCCCTTCTGGCGAGAGTGCCGCCCGGACAGGCGGAAGATGTCCGCGCCCTGCTGCAGTCGCGCGTTGGTGTTTATGTCCTGATAACCTGCGTGTGAAGTACGCGTGCGTGCAAGTGGCCTGCACAACACACCGGACCATGGCTGACGCACTTTGGCGTGATTGTGCGAACTGGCTGATTCGCTGCCAAGCGCTGCCGTCCGACCACCGTGTCACTTGGGCGAACGCACAACTGATCGACTTGGCCAACACGCTGCGGGACGGTGTGCTCTTGTGCCAGCTCCTCAACAAACTTCAGCCAGGATGTGTGGACTTGAAAGAGATGAGTCTACGGCCGCAGATGTCGCAGGTTGGTCCCGATTAAGCCGTTCTCCCAACTCGGGTCGTTTATGCACGTCGTCTTCGTGTTGCAGGGGCCGTTCGCTCCGCCGCTCTATGTTGTGTGTGTGTGTGCATGCCCCCTTCCCCCGGTTCGTGCGTTCCTTTGGGCCCAGCGTGCCCTTCTCCCCCTCTTTGTCCGGCGCCGTTTCAGGGGCGCCACTTTTACTGGCATTTGTATAACGCGCCGGTTGTGTCGTGTTTTCTACGTGTATGCGGTGCGCCTAACTTTTCGTACGTGTTCGAAATTGAACGTGTGACATTACTACGATCGGTTGGCTTCTTTGCATCGTGTAGAAAGACCGCCTACTAACTTGGCGAGCGAAGAAAGGGCACTGCCTCTGCACGGCCGAAGTCAGTGTCAAAATAAACCGACACCGGGTGATAGATCCGCGCCTTCAATTTCCGTTTTGTTACTAGTAAACGCTTCGAGTTCCTTGATGCTATCTATATTACGTTGGGTAGGCTATATACGGGCACTGTTTATTGGAGTTGCTCTTTATGATGCGCCGGATGTTTACATAGTTTTTCCGGCTGCCAACGCGAGGTTCTATTGGGAAGCTGCTCATCGTATGCTATCGTGCTACAAACAAACGGCGCTTTTATTTAGCGGGGCACTGCTGTGAGTGATATATATATATATATATATATATATATATATATATATATATATATATATATATATATATATATATATATTAGTTTTCTTTATGGATACTGAGCATTCAACACAGAGATGTTTGCGATAGGAGGCCGTTCACCATCATCTCTTCAGCTCGCTTTTAGTGCTTCGTTGTTGCTTTGATATATTAACGTTCTTCGTATCAGTCAAAGCGGAACTTTTATGCTTCCGTACGGCTGCTCGCAATCGCCGAGCGCAGAATCAGGCCATCTATGCGCACGTCTGTTCTACTCCGCGCATATCGACAGGGGCGAAGTACAAGGATAGGCGTGTGCCGGCGTATCGCATCATGCTCAAGAAATAACGTTCAGAGTAATGCGAAACCTCAGCGCGGCGCTCTTCTCAAAGGCCGGGATATATCAAATTCATCTAGAAATAAAGAAGCATACCAGCGAGCTCGCGCTATTTTGACAGTACTGTCCAAAGGGCTTGGACTTGGTTTATGCGCCGCACATATTATTCTGGCAGGAGTCCAACATTTTGCGGAGCCTGATCAGGCCGCCGTTGTATTCTATCGCTTCCAAGGGCATGGGTGGGGGAGGCGCTGAGAAGAGGTGGCTGGAGCGTCTGACGCTGCCTTGAAGATCCTCGCCATGCTCCCGCACACCCGTGCTCTTGCATTCACCAATGGATGAGCGCATGAAGTTCAACTTACTCGCAAATCTCTCCTAATTCTCCGAAGGCGTACGTTGTGGTAACGAGAAAAGTTACTAAGGCGGGAATCAATCCAAGAGGCCTTCTCCTTAAAAGTGCCTAGAAACTCCCCCGAAATGGTGCAGCCCCCTGAAATGGTACAGTGCCGCCACCGAACATTCAGAAAGTGTGGACCACAATATATTATCTTATCACAGAGGTTTTATTACTGGGTCATAAAATGTACTCAGTGACGAAAGTGGCGCTCCCGCTTTGGAGCAGAAAATGTACCTTTTTGTAGTAGCCACAAGTGTTTTCCGAGCAGGAAGAATGCTAATTTGTAGCATTTATTAGTAAGAGCAAATGGAAAAATATGTCATACAACTCCGGGAATCGGAAGCATTGCGGAAGTGTCTCATAAATATTAATATTCACTATAAAAGGCATTTCACAGACAACAATAAACGGAAACTGCAAGGAACGATTCTAATAGCACAAAATGTTGGCATAGCGCTGCCACACCACTCGGAAATTTTTTTCAACGTTGTGGCAACATTGCGAGGAATCAAGGAACAATAAAAAGATGAATGCATGGTTATCAATTGCAACGCAAAATAAATTTCATATCTAAAAAGCAGTACTTATGACAGAAATGAGACCAAAGTGGTGAAGCTCAGCACAACGTTATAAAAAATCTAACCACAGTTGCATATAACAGTTTCCAAAGCGGCAGCTGGTAACCAGAGTGAGGTCAAAGTAATCCTGATTATTTTCACCAAGATATCCCGGATGCCAAGTTGAAAGAACAAGCAGAAGCCAAATGAGCGATATGCTTGATATGTCAGTTCTTGATCCATAATTGATTTCAGAGCTGATAAAGCTGCATCCTGGCATACTAGGATAATAGTAGGAGGGCTTGCACAGTTGGTCACATTATTGAATCTCCTCGTCCTCATGTTCTCAGTGCCGTTTCAGAGTAGGTTCGGAGCAGTTGTTAACAAAGATTACAGTTTGGAGCAGTATACGGCAGCATTTCTCATATGGATCACTTTAAAACAATTGGCGCAGCACTTCCGTGGTTTTTGGCACAAAACGCACGTGAAACATCAGTCGTTCGAAAGGTATACCTTTCCATGGGGCCTGCTCGATAAGTGGAGAAAGAGCCGATCAGTGGTTTACAACAGCGTGCTGTTCTGAGCACCGACATAACCACGAGTTCGCTCGTCCACCTTGAAACCCGTGCAGCAACCATACTAAGACAACAAACCCTTTACAAAAAGATTGTCAGAAAGTTATTGCAACATCATGGATAAAACTTCAGCCTCATAGTTTTGACATGACGTAGAGCGTTTGATGAAATATTCGAGTAAATGTTGGTGCCCTTGAACATTGGTCACGGAAGTAATGTTGAAAGTTCATTGTAATAATAATGATAATAATAACGACGTTTAACGTCCCAGAACCACGATGTAATTATGCGAAACGCCGTAGTGAAAGGCTCCCAAAGTTTTGACGACCTGGGGATACTTAACGTGCGCCTAAATCTGAGTACACGGGCCTCAAACATTTTGCCATTCATCGGAATTGCAGCCACTGCAGCTGGGATTCGAAAAATGTTCATTTTACTACAATAAGGCACACAGCAACCAAAAAAGCACAATGCTTTTGTTGCAGTATGGTTGAATGTGAAGACCAGTGTTCTGAATATTGGTTACTGATGAATGAATAGGAAGTTTATAGGGCGAAATGTTTGGCGGAGTCCTGTACACAGGTGGCCTTTGTTATTATGCTTTCGAGCCGTCGGTATGATGGCTAGGTCTAGCCACCATACCGTCCCTTTCACACTAATGAATATATATATATATATATATATATATATATATATATATATATATATATATCGTGTAAAAAGGGCGCTTTTTTCCCCTCCCACAGCAGTAATCGTCATCCGGTTGGCTTGCATTTTCCTTTCTTAAAAGAACTATGCGCGCGCCCCTTTGCGGTCAAGAATGCCATTTCACGCTGATAACGGGCACGCCGTTCGTGATCTGGGGAACTATTCTCGCGGCGTCCAATTCGCGGGCATGGCCTTCCCTGATTGGCTGGAGCTGGGGAGCAGCGTGCCGCTTGTTTCCGGTCTTACTTCCGCAACGTCATTTTCACGCCACGCGATTTGTGAAAACTCTCGACACAAATGAGAAAGGTTAAAGACGTTTCACCACAATGAATGCTGGTTTCAGAGATTCGTTTTTAAGCGCACATCTTTGAGGCCGTGCATGGAAGTTTTAGCCATGGAATTAGGTTTAGCGCGGCCGCCCGCCCACCTGACGCCCCTGAAAGGTCTATACGCATTCTCTGCATCGCTCTTCAAACATCTCAACTCCTTCATACGCACGTTCAGACTTGTCAACTTTGTTTAAGAGTCCTGTTACTCTACGTTTCGTCCACTTAGTTTCTCTTTACGCTGGGAATGTGCTGGCGGGTTCGGTGCGCCGACGTGGTAAAGCGCACCATGACGTCACGACTCGCCGTTTTTTTTTTCTTTGAGTAACTGAACGTGCTCCGGCGAATCGGACATGTGCACTAATTGAACTGAAAGTGCCGGGCGTGCGGTGATAATGAAGGACACACGAGGTACGTGAAGATAATTTTTGTGTGATAAAGAGACGCCCTTTTAACTCGATCTTTTTTTAGTATGAAGCACTTGTATATGGCCAAAAGCCAATTTGGAATAGCTGGCTTCTGGCCTATTAGATATTCTTGGGCTTTTAAAGGTCCGGAAACCATGATATGATTATGAGAGACGCCGTAGTGAAAAGGTCGGGAAATGTCTACCTTCTGTAGTTTTTTTTTTTTAACGTGCACCTAATTTTAACGCACAGGCTTTAACATTTCTGCCGCCATTAAAAATTTTGTGGCCGCGGCCGGGATGCGATCCCGTAACTGGCGGGCAGCAGTCATTCCACCATAACCACTATAAACCATGGTGGCTGCTTGGCTTCGGGACAATTTCGTTGGTGTTAACTGCCCTTTTCAAAATCTAACGAATGCTAAACGTGTGTGAGATAACATCCCTGTTGAGTGATTGTTGCAGTCGTCATTTAAAAGCACATTGTGCTTTGACAAAATGGCACTGACATTTGTTCAAAACCAGGCACTTGAACATTTTAACAGTTCTCAAGTATCAACTGCTAGAAATTCATTGTTAAACAATCGTGTGCCATTATGCTTGTTGATCATTCATGTTTACTTACATAAACATCAATGATAAGATTATACACCGCCTTAAAAAACTGCACCGTCATATTTTTTTCGACGTTCCTTGATGTTCCTGTTTTTCAGAGCACGTGTAAAGCTTATAACGCTTACGCGTGCTCATTCCGCCCTTTTTACTTTGTTACATATAACAAAGTAAAACGAGCCAGACGCGGTAAACTATTTGATTCTTGCAACAAAGTCAATTTAGGAACGCACACACAAGCAGTGTAAGTGTCCAATACTTTCTGCAAGTCTTGTGAGGCGCAATAGATTTTTTGGTGTTCTTTAAAAAGCCCAAGTGAAAAAAAAACGAAAAAGAAAACCTACTTCTTGACGCTATATTCATGTGGAAATGTGCAAAGAAATCTGACAACGAAGATGAAAGTCGTAATTTTTTT